TCAACTATATTTATGAAAGGTCAAATTTGAGAACATTAATAGTCAACAATTACACTCATTAACAGACAAGGATAAAGTAGATATTTTTATCATTTCATAGTAGAAACTTTTCACCTGTGCATTTACTGAAATGCGAATTAAGATGGAAATAAAATCAATTCTTTCTTTATGAGATATTTGAGACATTATGGCAATAATAGATAATAAAACTGGGTAGTACATGTCGGAACAGTTTTGCCTTACCATGTATCTGTATATTACCTTGATTAAGAAAATAAAGCAAGAGCACAGGCAGTGCATAGAAAATCTTTTCCTTAATCTTACCAAAGATTCATTGTTCATTCACCTCTTAGCCAGAAACTAGAAGGCCATGACGATCATATATTAGAAGTGTAAGTTGCTTTTTCCTCCTTTTTATATTTCTTTCTTCTTTCTTTCCTCCTCCTTCTTCTTCATCTTCTTCTTCTCCTTCTATCTTCTCCTTCTTCTTCTTCTTCTTTTCTTCTTCTTCTTCTTCTCTTCTTCTTCTTCTTCTTCTTCTTCTTCTTCTTCTTTCTTCTTCTTCTTCTTCTTCTTCTTCTTCTTCTTCTTCTTCTTTCTTTCTTCTTCTTTCTTATTCTTTTCTTATTCTTCTTCTTCTTTTCTTCTTTTCTCTTCTTCTTCTTTTCTTCTTCTTCTTCTTCTTCTTCTTTTTCTTCTTCTTTTCTTCTTCTTCTTCTTCTTCTTTTGTTTCTTCTTCTTCTTCTTTTGTTCTTCTTCTTTCTTCTTTTTTTCTTCTTCTCTTCTTCTTCTTTTTCTTATCTTCTTCTTTCTTCTTCTTCTTTACTTCTTCTTCTTCTTCTTCTCTTCTTCTTCTTTACTTCTTCTTCTTCTTCCTCTTCTTCTTCTTCTTCTTCTTCTTCTTCTTCTTCTTCTTCTCTTCTTCTTCTTTCTTCTTCTTCTTCTTCTTCTTCTTCTTCTTCTTCTTCTTCTTCTTCTTCTTCTTCTTACTCCTCCTCCTTCTCTTCTTACTCCTCTTTCTCCTCCTTTCTCCTTCTCTCTTCTCCTCTTCATCCTCCCCTTCTCCTCCCCTTTTCTCCTTCTCCTCCTTCTTCTCTTCTTCTTCTTCTTCTTCTTCTTCTTCTTCTTCTTCTCTCTTCTCCTCTCCTCCTCCTCCTCCTCCCCTCCTCTTCTTCTTCTTCTTCTTCTTCTTTTCTTCTTCTCCTTCTCCTTCTCCTTCTCCTTCTCTTCTCCTTCTCCTTCTCCTTCTCCTTCTCCTTCTCTTCTCCTTCCTTCTCCTTCTCTCTTCTTCTTCTTCTTCTTTCTTCTTCTTCTTCTTCCTTCTTCTTCTTCTCTCCTCCTCCTCCTTCCTCCTCCTCCTCCTCCTCCTCCTCCCTCCTCCTCTCTCCCTCTTCTCTTTCTGACATCTTGCATATTATTTATATTTACAACAGTGGTTCTTCTCCAACTTAAAGTACTTTTTTATTAAAAAAAAAAAAAAAAAAATCTTTCTTTCTTTCTTTCTTTCAGATGTGTGTCTCAGGTGCCTCTTCTTACTACTCCTTGTCCTCCTCCTCTTCTTACCTCCTCCACCTCTCTTACTCCTCCTCCTCTTCTTACTCCTCTTCCTCCTACTTTTACTCTCTTTCTCCTTCTCCTTCTCTTCTTACTCCTCATCCTCATCCTCTTCCTCCTTTTCCTACTCCACCTCTTCTTCCTCCTCCTACACCTACTCCTCATCCTCCTCCTCCTCCTCCTCCTCCTCCTCCTCTCCTCCTCCTCCTCCTCCTCCTTCTCCTCCTCCTCCTCCTCCTTTTTTTTTCTTCCTCTCAACTCCAACTCCTCCTCCTCTCATGACCTCTTTTGACATCTTGCACATTATTTACAACAGTGGTTCTTTTCCAACTTAAAGTACTTTATTGATTTTTGAAAAAAAAAAAATATATATATATATATATTTTTTCAGATGCTTGTCTCAGGTGCCAGGGTGAGAATAAACAGGACGACTGTGTAGTTATCTGGGGAGAGTGTAATCACTCCTTCCACAATTGCTGCATGAGTTTGTGGGTTAAGCAGAACAACCGATGTCCTTTATGTCAGCAAGAATGGTCCGTGCAGAGAGTCGGGAAATAGTGCTTTATGTTGTTGATATTTAGCCCTTTTCTTTTCCCATGGCCTTGTGTATCAGTGTTTGTGTCTGAGTGTAAGATAATCGGAGTGAATTTTGAGGAATTGCTCTTTGAAAGAATGTTTCGCGTCAAATGTGGAATGTCGCTTGGTTTATGAGGGTGATTGTGTTTATAGTAAACCGAACAGCTTTGTATCCAATTTCCTTTTGCTTTTTGTTATAATCAATGTATTTTTTTCTTTTTTGAAATAAGTGGTAATTATTAAATATCAGAGACTGTTTGTATTTTATTTGTGAAAAAAAATCTTTGAATTGTCTACATTACTGGGAATAAACCATTTTTATATTGGAAAGTGATACTTTTCATTAAGGTCAGTCTGTTCACAAAAAAGA